TATTGTAGAGATGAGGTCTCACTGCCTAGGTGGGTCTCAAACCCGCGGGCTCAGGCAATCCACTCACCTCAGCCTCCCAAAGGTGTGGGATTACAGGCTGAGCCACCGAGCCCGGCACTTTATGTATTAAACAATGTATTTTTTATTGTATTATTATTTAAGGTATTAAATAATTCATTAAAGAATATGAAAGTTCCTTTGGTTCTGCTTGGTTTGCTAAAGTGTAGGTTCAGTTGATGAGATTTAGTTGTTTTTAAAAAGCACCCTTAATACCTGTTGGATTTCTTTTATTTATTTATTTTTATTTTTTATTTTTTTTTTGAGTTGGAGTCTCACTCCAGACTGGAGTGCAGTGGCTGCTCCCGGCCACCGCAGCCTCGACCTGCTGGGCTCCAGCAATCCTTCCGCCTCAGCCTTCCAAGTAGCCAGAATTACAGGCATGCGCTACAATGTCCAGCTGATTTTTTTTTTTATTTATTGTAGAGATGAGGTCTCACTGCCCAGGCAGGTTTCGAACCCGCAGGCTCAGGCAATCCACTCACCTCAGCCTCCCAAAGGCGCGGGATTACAGGCCGAGCCACAGAGCCCAGCTACCTGTTTGGAATTCTGTAAGGAAGAACTAGCTAACTATAAGGAATCTGTAAGTATTTGTAAGAGTAATAGTTAATGAAATTTTACTGAGTAATTAAAGTATTAAAGGTAAAAAACCCATAAATTCTGTCATTTATCAGAATTTATAAACTCAAATGCCTTCTTGGGCCAGGCATCAGTAACAGCCAAGTATAAGTCAAAAGAGAAAACTGAGACCACAGTGACTGAGTCTAATGGCATTCACATTCAAGTTTTGTTTCATTTTTAAACATTGTGCCACATTTGTTCAGGCTGAATTCAGCTCTGGGGGGCACCTGTTTTGACCATTGAATTTCAGATTTTAAACCCTTAGAACCTTATGAAATATACTTGCATGCAGACCTGGTGTTTTGTAAAAGACAATAATATGAAACATTTTTTTAAATGAATACTAATGTACATCACAAACATTAGGAAATTTTTCAATGACTTCCAAAAGGCAGTCATGTCATTAAAGATATTCTAAGTTGGTTATCTCTCCTATTTTGTACTCTAAGATACATTTTTAAGCCGGGCTTGGTGGCTCAGCCTGTAATCCCGCGCTTTGGGAGGCTAAGGTGAGTGGATTGCCTGAGCCCGTGAGTTCGAGACCCACTTGGGCAACTTGGTGAGACCTCATCTCTACAATAAATCAAAAAAATTAGCCGGGCGTGGTAGCGTGTGCCTGTAGTTCCAGCTACTTGGAAGGCTGAGGTGGAAGGATCTCCGGAGCCCAGGAGGTTGAGGCTGTGGTGGCCGGGAGCGTGCCACTGCACTCCAGTCTGGGCAAGAGTGAGACTCCAACTCAAAAATAATAATAATAAAAGATTCATTTTTATGTCATAATATATAATCTTTTTAGGCTTCTAACAACTCTAGGAATTTAAGATTCCATGATGGATGAAACAAAATTCCTTCATACCAGTAACAACTATGTAGCCATGAAATAATTTAATCATTACAAAAACACTGAAAATTGTTTCTTTTCTTTTTTTTTTTTTTTTTTTTTGAGTTGGAGTCTCACTCTGTTGCCCAGACTGGAGTACAGTGGCCGCTCCCGGCCACCGCAGCCTCAACCTGCTGGGCTTCAGCGATCCTTCCGCCTCAGCCTTCCAAGTAGTCAGAATTACAGGCATGCGCTACCACGCCCGGCTGATTTTTTGATTTATTGGAGAGATGAGGTCTCGCTGCCCAGGCGGGTCTCGAACCTGAGGGCTCAGGCAATCCACTCACCTCAGCCTCCCAAAGGCGCGGGATCACAGGCTGAGCCACCGAGCCCGGCTTGAAAATTGTTTCGTTCACTGCTAAAATGTTTGGGCTAAATGTTTTGACTGAAAAACTTAATTTACATTTTTGACGTGATATGATGCAGCCTCTAGCCCACTGAAACATCTATTAACCATGGTTTTAAAAATATTTTAAAATAAAATAACAACTCCACTGTTATTGAGCTCTTTCTAGATGTTCTCTAATAAATATACTTTTAAAGGACTATATTTATTTATTTGTTTGTTAATTTAATTTTTTTTTTTTGAGTCCGAGTTCCACTCAACCACACCCAGTCAAAAGGTTATATTTAAGTGAACAATATCCAATGCTCCCAAAGTCCAAAGTAATCTCTTCTTCTACTAGTTTCCCTAGCATGCCATTATTATTGGTTTATGATATCAAGCTTATCCTATTTTCGATATCTTTTATCTTCTCTATAATACTTTAAACTATGTAATGGCTGAAATCATGCATTATTAATCGTTTTTTCCCTAACAATAAGCATTTTATACTCACACAGAAGGTGTTCATAAAATAAAATAATCTAAGACAAACTGTCTTTTTCCCAGGATAACAATGATGATCTCAAGTTAAATTCTTTCCAATTCTAACACAAATTGAACTTTTCCATAATTGAAATTATTATGCTTTTCAAAATTCTCTAAAATTCAGAGAAGCTCTCAGCATTAGTAACTGGTTATGTTAATATTTAAGCAATTGTATTATTAGATAAACACTACAATAACTTTATAATCTTTCAAGAAAATACAACTTTAAGGATGTTACATAAGCCTGAGCTTAGTTTTCAACATTTATTTGAGAGAAAGATGATTACGTTTTTGGAAAGGATTATTTATAATTATTAAGTCTTACCTGAGGATTCCAACTTGGATCTAACTTTTTAACTACTGCAATGTATTCCTCCATTGCTTGGCGGGGGCTTGAGTCACCCAGTGCTTTCCATGCTTCCCTACAGTGTAGAATATCCAAAATGACCTGTCATTAACTATATAAATAACACAAACAGCATTTTTCTTTTTATTATTAAAAAATGGTTATACACATTTCAAGGGTCTGGGGATACAGAGAAAATAAGCTATGCATAGAGGAGGAGTTCTCTCTCTTTTTTGCATTTACATTGGTCTACGGCAATACAGACCTTATCATCCCACCTAAGAGGCCCTTTTAGATATTTTTCCCTAATTACCCTCTGCCATGAAATTTTAATAGCACAGATATATTGCATATCTGTTGTATTCTGGAAAACCACAAACCACTATAATCTAAAATTTTATTACTCCCGAAAACCCAATTTTCATCCTGTTGAGAATGTATGGTCTACAGACTAATAGAGTTCATTCTCATTTTATGAATTAACTGTGCTTATATGGATTATAATAGTATGAAAACTAATCATCACACAAAAACAATATTTCCTATGATAATCCATCAAACTTCTTACTTAAGATATGAGAGGCCCGGCTCAGTGGCTCAGTCTGTAATCCCAGTACTCTGTGAGGCCGAGGCGAGCGAATTGCCTGAGCCCATGGGTTAGAGACCAGACCAGGCAACTTAGCGAGACTTTGCCCCTACAATAAATTTTTTTTTAAAAAATATGCCAGGGGCAGTGGTGTGAGTCTGTGGTCCTGACTACTTGGAAAGCTGAGGCAGAGGATCGCCAGAGCCCAACACTGCGTGCCACTGCACTCCAGCCTGGGCAACAGAGTGAGACTCCAACACACACACACACACACACACACACACACACACACACACACACACAGTTATGAGAAATCCACCTTCCCTTTCTGCTGTTAGAGACTCCAACACACACACACACACACAGATATGAGAAATCCACCTTCCCTTTCTGCTGTTATCCCATCTATAAGCTACCAGTAGCCAATCCTGAGGCCTTGTCAGGGACTTCAAAAGTGAAGGATGGTGAGGGCAGAAATAAGAATACTACCAGGCACAGTGGCTCATACCTGTAATCTTGGCACTTAGAGAGGCCAAGGAAGGAGTATTGCTTGAGCCCAGGAGTTTGACACCAACCTAGGTACCATAGCAAAATCTACAAAAAAAATCAAAAACTTGGCCAGCCATGGTGGTATGTGCCTATAGTCCCCACTACTAAGGAAGCTGAAGTGGAAGGAGCGCCTGAGCCCAGAAGGTTAAGGCTGCACTGAGTTGTGATCGTGTCATTGCACTCCAATCTGGGTGACTCGGTGAGACCCTGACCCAAAAACAAAAACAAAAAGAAAGAATACTAATGAGTAAGAAGGTAGGGACTTCCGACAGTATAAATATCAAAAATAACATTTTCAGCCTGAGCCCCCTTTTGGGTCATCCCTTTCTTTTTTTCCTGATGGATGCCAGGATAGGCCTCCTTCTTAGTTTTTTCTGCCAATTCCTTCTAATTCCAACCAGAGTTTCTCGATATCCTTGATCTACTATAAAAAAGAACTCAGCCTCAGTTTTTTCACTACTTGCCCGCTCCTATGATGAACATAACATCTTTCTGGAGTTTTCCAAATTTATTTTCACTAAATCTCTTGAGAGTTACTTGTATACATCGCAACATCTCATCCCTATATTTATCAGATTATACAAACTCAAGAAATTTATCACCAGTACTATCATATAATCACCAGTACTATCATATATAATTTATCACCAGTACTATCACAAGAGGTGATAAATTCAGATTTCCCAGTAAGGTTTTTTTCTGGTTTTTTTTTTTTGAGTTGGAGTCTCACTCTGTCGCCCAGGCTGGAGTGCAGTGGCACACTACTCACAGTCATCCCAGCATCAGCCTGCTGCTGGGCTCCCACGATCCTTCCGCCTTGGCCTTCCAAGTAGCCAGAACTACAGGCACGCTATACCACGCCTGGCTAATTTTTGATTTATTGTAGAGACAAGGTCTCACCAAGTTGCCCGGGCTGGTCTCGAACCCTCAGGATCAGGCAATCCACTCGCCTCAGCCTCCCAAAGTGCTGGAATTACAGGCTGAGCCACCGAGCCTGGCCTCCCAGTAATGTTTTATGGCTTTCTTCTCCTAGACCAGGAGTCAATCAAGATTCACACATAGCATTGAGTTTCATGCATCTTTAGTCTTTTTGTTGATACTTTTTAAAAATCCAAACCAACTATTTTATAAAATCTCCCCCAATTTGAATTTGTCTGATTGTTTCCTCACCTACATAGTGTTCTTGCCAAAATAATTAAACATAATTAGAATCAGGTTAAATAGTTCAGCAAGAACAATATATAAGTGACATGTTATTTACGATGCAGCACATTGGGAGTGCATGATGTCAGTCTGTCCCATCATCAATAAGACCGATGACTTGGTTAAAAGTAGTATTCTGCCAGGTTTGTCCTATATATACATATATATACATATATATATATATCTATATATAGATATATATAGTTTTTTTTTGTTTTTTTTTTAAGTCAGGGTCTCATTCTGTCACCCAGGCTGAAGTGCAGTGGCATAATCACAGCTCATTGCAGCCTTGACCTCCTGGGCTCAGGTGATCTTTCTGCCTCAGCATCCCAAGTAGCTGGGACTATAGGCACATGCCACCACACTCAGATAATTTCTGTGTTTTATTTTTGTAGAGACAAGGTTTCATGATGTTGCCCAGGCTGGTCTTGAACTCCTAGGCTCAAGCAACTCTCCTGCCTCAGTCTCCCAAAATGCTGGAATTATAAGCATGAGTCACTGTGCCTGGCCTCTCTCCCTCATAGTTAATAAGTAGACCAGCCTGTAACCTACAGTTTTATTCTCCAATAGTTTTGTTTTTTTTTTTTTTGAGTTGGAGTCTCACTCTGTCTCCCAGACTGGAGTACAGTGGCCGCTCCTGGCTACTGCAGCCTCGACCTGCTAGGCTCCGGCAATCCTTCCACCTCAGCCTCCAAGTAGCTGGAACTACAGGCGTGTACTACCACGCCTGGCTAATTTTTGATTTACTGTAGAGATGAGGTCTCGCCAAGTTGCCCAGGCAGGTCTCGAACCTGAAGCCTCAGGTAATCCATTCACCTCAGCCTCCCAAAGTGCTGGGATTACAGGCTGAGCCACCAAGCCCGGCTTTCCAATAGTTTTTCACCTAATGTTTTAGCATGCCTTGATGATTCTTGTCTGAGTTAATTATCATTATGATGGCTATAAAATCTAAACTTTTTTAATTGCTAAAAACAATGGAGAAATTGGCAATGCATAGGGGAAAAATAAAATTTCATAAATTAAAACAAAAAAAATTACAGTAAAAGTAACATCAGATGTTCTTAAGAACAGTAATAAAATGCCAGTCAGAAAGCTGTTAGCATTAACCAAAAAACTTGTGCCACAATGTAAACAATGCACCGCTTCCTTCACTGAGAATGTTCTATACAAAAAAATGTCAGCTGCACTAAACAGTGCAGCTAGTGACATAAGTGATTTACATCTGGGTTCAAGTTCTATACCTCCTTACAGTTGGGTAACAAGCAGTTGGCAGACAGAGGACACTTGTTCACATTTTGCATAGGACCACCCTAGACTGTAAAATCAGAGTCCGTCTTTTAGTACTTTTCTCTTACAACCATATTTTATCCTTTTTTTTAGCTCTTCATCTATTCTTCTTTTAATTCTAGAGCTGGTGCTCCAATATCTTCCCTTCTATAACTAAGACTCCCTATTGCACGCAATTTCTCTTTTTTCACTTAGACAAGGTAAGAGAAGGCCTCATAAATGATAAGAAATTTCAGAATTATAAGTTTAAAAAATCGGTAAAGTATAATCTTTTTTATGTATTCAGAGAAAAAGTGGACTCAGTATCTGGGTTTTTTGTTTGTTTGTTTGTTTCCTTTTCTTCCCAAGAGATTATTATAAGTATGTATTAACTGTGGGATAGATGGGGCAAGAAATATCAGAATACTGAGAGACAAAGAGAGAAAATGGGGACAGGGAGGAGAAGAGTGATAAATGAGGATTTATGCTGCTCTTCTTCCCTTATCCTTCTGGCCTTCTCCAGAGATCCCTCCAGAGGGAAGAAGTGGTGACCCTAACGGGTTGAATGATAAGTGAGGAAAATCTCAAGCACTAGCTCTTACGGTTACTCTCTTAAATATTAACGTGGAAGAAATGTACGTCTGTTGTGAACTACTTATATGTCAACATCCTGGCATAAGAATCCTTTAGGAGACTTAGCTAAAAGCAGATTCTTTTAATCCCTCTCCCAATTGCCTGTCATTAGCACAGTCTACAGCAGAGAGAGATTAATATAAAAATAATTCTTTAATCGACTCACTACTTTCTAATTCCTAAACACCTAAACCATTTCCAATAACCTCATTAAAAATTCAAAGAATTTCTTACCATTTTTGTTTTCCTTCAAAATCAAAGAAGCTTGGCTTAGGAGTATTGCAATGTCCAACTTTGACCTAAAGAAGGGGGGAAAAATTCAATAACTTATTTTTCAAAGAAATGTTGAGGACATTTTTTCTTTTTAAATATAGTATGCATATTTAGTAAGTATAGGTTAGAAAATAATTGAACTTACGTAATAACAAAATTTAACATTCTTTATAAAAGCAAAGAAAAAAACCCAAACAGATCAAATTTTACATACAGGCTACTTTGGCTCACTGCAAAAAATAAGTTATCTAATACAGTTATACATAAAAAATATGAGTGACAAACAGTTACATTCCTAAGTTAGTAAACAAATTGTATATGAGAAAAAAGTCAATATATTATTTATGAATATCAATATAGTATGTATTCTTTATTACAATTTATAATATAAAAGAATTTTTTTAAAAGCAGGATTTATTGAGAAGACAGAAAGGCTCACACAGTGGAAGGGGACCCGAAGAGGTTGCCCTAGATGAATTTTTAAATATGCAATTAACAAGCTTTAAAGTTCAGTTTATCAGAATTCATACTGTTTCTTCATGCTGATTTTCATAATGCTATTAGCATTATTATCTCTCCAAAATTCCAAGATAAAGTGTACTATTTTTAAAGTGCCTTATTATGAAACTCATCAATATAAATTTGGATGCCAAAAGCCATGCAAAAACATTTCAAGGGTTCTCAACAATAAAAATTATATTTTTCCACAATAATCTATTTTGTGGTCAATACTTATTTTTAATCAAGTGACATTTGTAGTTAAACTATACAGTGATTATTTTCATTGTGAATAACCACAAATGAAATCTGCACAAGTACAGAATTCACTCTGACAGTCCGATTCCCACTGTCGGAAGTAACCTCCCTTCCTTCTGAACTCTGACAGTACTTACTCTACCTTTTATGGCATTTTTCACTTTTCTACCCTGTGTTAGAAAGTGTTGTTAAAAAGTCTTGTCTTTCTCTTAGAATAGAGCCTCTAACTGTCCTTAACTTCCCACAGCACCTGACTACTTCTCAGGGCTCTTTCCATTACCTCCTTATTACTCTTACAGGCTTGACTTTCACTAAAATCTTACTAATGCCTTCATCTAACCAGACTGATCTACTCAGTGCCTTAGAGATATTTAGTTTGGTGTTTTGTTCATTATTTCACTTACCCAAAATGCCACCTCCTCATCCCACAACTTTTCAAAATGCTATAACCTCCTTCCAGTCCAACTCAAAGTCCAGGTTCTAAGAACCCTTTCAGTCGACAATGATTTCATCTACCTCGGAATTCATAACAATTATCACCTCTATCCCTTACTTAGCAATGAATCACATGGCCATCTGACTGTATTAAAATGTGCAATTACATAGGAGCAGGCCTGTTATGATGGGATGGAAGGAAGGAAGGGTGAGAGAGAAGGAGCTACAGTTCCTGAACAATCACCACAGACCAAATGCTTCTCATAGGTATCTCAAATGAGCCACACGATAATCCTGCTAGGCACACCATTACAAACTCGCTTTACAAATGAGGACAGAGAAGTGCAGGAGGGTTGTCTTAGTGCAACGTTAGTAAATCCTGAATTAGTAGTAAGAATTTAAGTCCAGGACTGTTTGACTCTAAGGTTCAATATTCCTATACTACACTATTCTGCCTGAGCTTCAGTTCTGGCCCTTCTAAAATCACATGAACTACTAGATTGTTAAAAATATAAAATGAGATCAACCATACCAACTATAAGATATCATAAAAATAAATAGAGGTAGCCGGGTTCAGTGGCTCTGCCTGTAATCCCGCGCTTTGGAAGGCTGAGGTGAGTGGATCGCCTGAGCCCGCGGGTTTGAGACCCACCTGGGCAACTTGGCAAGACCTCATCTCTACAATAAATCAAAAAATTAGCTGGGCGTGGTAGCGTGCGCCTGTAGTTCCAGCAACTTGGAAGGCTGAGGCGGAAGGATCGCCGGAGCCCAGCAGGTCGTGGCAGCAGTGGCCGGGAGCGTGCCACTGCACTCCAATCTGGGCGACAGAGTGAGACTCCAATTCAAAAAATAAATAAATAAATAAGCAGAGGTTATTACTAATTTTGCTTTTTATCCAGACACCATCCAGGAGCCAGAACAAGTGACAATCTCTGTTCTCTATTTCTCCTATAATAATGGAAGTCTCCACAGGGCAGATGGTCATCCAGGTAAATGTTACACGTGGCCACACAACTTCTGCCTTGGTTCTGGGGACTGGATATGTATAACAGTGATACAAATACTTTCCTTAAAAAGAAAAGGTGTGGCCAGGCACAGTGATTCAGCCTATAATCCCAGCACTTTGGGAGGCCAAGGTGAGAGGATTGCCTGAGCCCGGGGAGTTCAAGACCAGCCTGGGCAACTTGGGGAAGCCTCGTCTCTACAATAAATCACAAAAACTAGCTGGGCATGGTGGCATGCATCTGTAGTTCCAGTTACTCAGAAGGCTAAGGTAGAAGGATTGCCTAAGCCCAGCAGGTCGAGGCTGCAGTGGCCATGAGTGTGTCACTGCACTCCAGCCTGGGTGACAAGAGTGAGACTCCAACTTAAAAAAAAGAAAAAGAAAGAAAAGGTATTTGTCTTCCCCCCTCCCTTGCTCTGGCCAGAACATGCATGTGGTGACAGTGTGCCACTTCTGACCATGAAAAAGGAACTGCCGGGCTCGGTGGCTCAGCCTGTAATCCCGCGCCTTTGGGAGGCTGAGGTGAGTGGATTGCCTGAGCCCGTGGGTTCGAGACCCGCCTGGGCAGCGAGACCTCATCTCTACAGTAAATCAAAAAATCAGCCGGGCGTGGTAGCGCATGCCTGTAATTCCAGCTACTCGGAAGGCTGAGGCGGAAGGATCGCCGGAGGCCAGGAGGTCGAGGCTGCGGTGGCCGGGAGCGGCCACTGCACTCCAGTCTGGGTGACCGAGTGAGACTCCAACACACACACACACACAAAAAAAGGAACTAAGGGCAATAGTTCCCAAATTTTTGGTCTTATGATTGCTTTATATCCTTAGGAATTAATAACCCCAAAGAGCTATCTTTTGTGAGTTATATCTAGTGATATTTATCCTATTAGAAGTGAAAACAGACATTTTAAAATAATGTATTCTTTCACTTAAAAATAATAAATCCATTACATACTAACATAAATGAGATTTTATGAAAAATAACTACATATTCTAAACAAAAATGTGATAAGAGTGGCACTGTATTACATTTGTAAGCATCTGGCTTAGTAGAAGCCAGCTATATTCTACTAGCTACTTCTGCATCCAATCTACTGTAATATGTAGCTTGGGTTGACATATACGAAGAAAATTCGGCTTCACACAGATATGTTGTTAGAAGAGAGAGAAAAGCAGTATGTCCCCTACATACAAACGAGCTCCATTCCAAGAGCATGTTCATATGTCCGATTTGTTCATAAGTTGAACAAAGTTAGCCTAGGTACCCAGCTAACACAATTGGCTATATAGTACTGTACTGTAATAGGTTTATAATACTTCTCACACAAATAACACATTAAAAAAACACAAAAAGATGAAAATATGTTTAAAATCTTACACTATACACGAAAGCACAACCACTTATAGAGGATGCATGCGATGACAATGTACACCAGATGTATGAACTAGTTTACATGATTATACATGTGAACACATATTCACATCTTTGAAAGTTTGCAACTTGAAAGTCTGTATGTAGGGGAGTTACTGTACTTTAATAGCATTTCCAGGTAATTGTGGATACTTTCGATACTAAACCAAAACCCAACAAATAGTCATTTCTCTAAGGTTAGTTGCAATGAGGAGTCTGAACTCACATCAATGATTTTTTCCTACTGTTTTTTTTTTTTTGCGTTGGAGTCTCACTTTGTCGCCCAGACTGGAGTGCAGTGGCCGCTTCCAGCCACCACAGCCTCGACCTGCTGGGCTCCGGCGATCCTTCCGCCTCCGCCTTCCAAGTAGCCAGAATTATAGGCATGCGCTACCAAGCCCGGCTGATTTTTTGATTTATTGTAGAGATGGGGTCTCGCCTGCCCAGGCAGATCTCGAACCCGCGGGCTCAGGCAATCCACTCACCTCAGCCTCCCAAAGGCGCAGGATTACAGGCTGAGCCACTGAGCCCAGCTTTTTCCTACTGTTAAAACTGAAATCCATGAGTTTGACTTGTACTTTGAATGCACCTTTAACTCACACTTGATATGTAACATCATTCCATGAAATACTTAGAAAATATAGTTTACTGAGTCATGTACATTTTTCAAATGCTGACACGTTTCATTATACAATAGCAAAAGTTCACATTCATTACTGTCACCACTCATCTCACCAAAAAAAGTTTTTAAATACTGGAAAGTTGTCAAAGTCATGGTGGCAGATACAGATTTTCTAAACTCATTTTCACTTGAAGTCTCAAATGTTATCATTGGCAACAAATACTTTCAGTTGTTTTCCTTGAAGTGACAAGCTCATTTTGTTCATTTCAAGAAACTATCTGCCAAATACTCAAATTTGAATGGGCGTAGTTATCTGTGAGTTAAGTAAAAATGACACTCCATGGAAAAGAAGTAGATTGTTCATTTTGCAACTCAGAAATTACACAAGGATTTTCCTCAAAATAACTATCCAGTCTGCAGAAGTGCTTTGTGAGTACCTCCCATCTCATCACACAATATTCAAAAGATTTATACTCAAGGGTTAATATTTAATAAAAATAAATACTGTTCCATCAAAGACCTTTTTAAGTGAATGTGGCATTTTTTACTTTACTCTGAGAAGTAGTAAGAAAATATGACGGCTTACAGCTTGCTGCCACTGCCTTGATTCGTGCTAAGGCATCAGCAGTGTTATCTACCATAAAAGCACAGGAAAAAGGTAAATAGTATCTTAGTATATTATGAAAGTAGTTTGACCTTATGGATCCCCTGAGAGTCTCAGGGATTCACAGGAGCACATGAATCACAATGCCTTAGGGGACATCTCAGGCACAAAACTGAAAAGCCTAAGCCCCTGGGAGATTTC